ACCACCACCATCACCACAACTCCCCCCCTCCCACCACCACCACCACCTGTGCCACAATAACCATCATCATTGTCGTCAACCTACCACCACCACCACAATCACTGCCGCCATAATAATTAATACCCCATCATTACCATCACTACAACTACTGCCACCATCACCACCATTGGTGCCATATCATCACAATCACTATCACCCCAATCGCCCCATTGCCACCATTACTATTGTCACTCAAGGCTGCCACTATCACAACTATCACTGTCTCCCACCACCACTACTGTCACTCATCACCACTACCACCGCTCGCCCCTATTACAACCGGTGCTTAAATTCTTTTCTCTAATTTTTTTTTTTGTAATTTGATTTTAAATGTGAATATAAATATATTTATTATTAACCATTTTTTTATTACATCGTACCTTCAGGCACTAGAAATAACTAGTATATATATATATATATATTTCCAAAAACTTTTTGTCTTTATATTGGTTTGAAAGTTAATAGCCTTCCAAAACTATCCAAACATACCATGACTGAATTTGGTACCTTCTTGCTGTCTCCAAACGAAGAAACAATCCATGAGCTGCCACTACTAAGGCTCTTACTAAAGCCATGATTATTTTTTGGCCTTTCTTCCATTTTTTTGTTGAGTGTAACCCCCATATATTCAATGCTTAATTTCATTATCTCTTGCCCCTAAAGATAACATATTTAAAAGCCTTCGCTTTAAGATAAACACTCCTATTAAACTACTAACATAAATTCTTACTACACAACAAGCAGCTTATAATATAACTGTGATATGAAAAATGGTACAACTAATCCATACACATAGACTCTTTTTTTTATTATTATTATTAAACGGTCAGAGTGTCTGAACTAGTTTACTCGTGCCTCGACTACTCTGCTCATTAATATAATTAAAAGTAGATCATTCACACGCACCTCAATTAGACTCACTTATTATCCTACTCAGNCACCACCACCACCTGTGCCACAATAACCATCATCATTGTCGTCAACCTACCACCACCACCACAATCACTGCCGCCATAATAATTAATACCCCATCATTACCATCACTACAACTACTGCCACCATCACCACCATTGGTGCCATATCATCACAATCACTATCACCCCAATCGCCCCATTGCCACCATTACTATTGTCACTCAAGGCTGCCACTATCACAACTATCACTGTCTCCCACCACCACTACTGTCACTCATCACCACTACCACCGCTCGCCCCTATTACAACCGGTGCTTAAATTCTTTTCTCTAATTTTTTTTTTTGTAATTTGATTTTAAATGTGAATATAAATATATTTATTATTAACCATTTTTTTATTACATCGTACCTTCAGGCACTAGAAATAACTAGTATATATATATATATATATTTCCAAAAACTTTTTGTCTTTATATTGGTTTGAAAGTTAATAGCCTTCCAAAACTATCCAAACATACCATGACTGAATTTGGTACCTTCTTGCTGTCTCCAAACGAAGAAACAATCCATGAGCTGCCACTACTAAGGCTCTTACTAAAGCCATGATTATTTTTTGGCCTTTCTTCCATTTTTTTGTTGAGTGTAACCCCCATATATTCAATGCTCAATTTCATTATCTCTTGCCCCTAAAGATAACATATTTAAAAGCCTTCGCTTTAAGATAAACACTCCTATTAAACTACTAACATAAATTCTTACTACACAACAAGCAGCTTATAATATAACTGTGATATGAAAAATGGTACAACTAATCCATACACATAGACTCTTTTTTTTATTATTATTATTAAACGGTCAGAGTGTCTGAACTAGGTTACTCGCGCCTCGACTACGTTGCTCATTAATATAATTAAAAGTAGATCATTCACACGCACCTCAATTAGACTCACTTATTATCCTACTCAGAACATGATGGAATGTGACTTGTTAGAGTAAATATATGCAAGACTTTAGTTCCTTATGCCCACAGGAACCTCAAACCAGTTCTTAGAGCATTTTTCCTACAAAGATTCATGGTATGAAGTAAGTTAGTGTGGGATAACGTTTGATGGGCAAGATTACGAAACTAAATAGTTATTTGTTGAAAGTATATCAATAGTTCCTGTAAAATAAAGGTGAGATCGCAATTTAATATGTTGAACTTATGATAAACTCAAATTATAGAAACCAATCACGACATTTTAAAATCATTCCCATTTTTCTTTGAATCGTATTTGATGTTTTTGAGTTAGGAACTATCAATCTTGTTAAATAAAGATTAAATTACAAATTATTGCTCAATATCATAATTTTTTTTTGCTTGATAAAAAAGGGGTGAAGTCAAAGGAGAGAGCGTCCAGAGATCGCTCTGATAGATTTTTACTGGTTTGATCATGAGGTCTCTAACTGTGTTCGTCACTTTTTTCGAGAATAAACGTAGTAAAATTAGCATAATAGTCAACCGATGACTCTTAATGTGAACTCTAACATTCAAATTTCTAACTTACAAAGACTTCGACCGATATTCCATTAGATCATCCATTTCGATGGTTCAATGCCATAGTTTTCTCCATGCTTGATTGGTCTCTTGTACAAAGTGAACCCTAATGATCTTGGTTGAACAAGGCNTCAAAGGAGAGAGCGTCCAGAGATCGCTCTGATAGATTTTTACTGGTTTGATCATGACGTCTCTAACTGTGTTCGTCACTTTTTTCGAGAATAAACCTAGTAAAATTAGCATAATAGTCAACCGATGACTCTTAATGTGAACTCTTACATTCAAATTTCTAACTTACAAGGACTTCGACCCCATTAGATCATCCATTTCGATGGTTCAATGCCATAGTTTTCTCCATGCTTGATTGGTCTCTTATACAAAGTGAACCCTAATGATCTTGGTTGAAGAAGGCANAATCGTATTTGATGTTTTTGAGTTAGGAACTATCAATCTTGTTAAATAAAGATTAAATTACAAATTATTGCTCAATATCATAATTTTTTTTTGCTTGATAAAAAAGGGGTGAAGTCAAAGGAGAGAGCGTCCAGAGATCGCTCTGATAGATTTTTACTGGTTTGATCATGAGGTCTCTAACTGTGTTCGTCACTTTTTTCGAGAATAAACGTAGTAAAATTAGCATAATAGTCAACCGATGACTCTTAATGTGAACTCTAACATTCAAATTTCTAACTTACAAAGACTTCGACCGATATTCCATTAGATCATCCATTTCGATGGTTCAATGCCATAGTTTTCTCCATGCTTGATTGGTCTCTTGTACAAAGTGAACCCTAATGATCTTGGTTGAACAAGGCTACACTTGAAAAAGTTGTGATCAAATGTCCTTGAATAAGCCATATTGAAAGGGTTGACCCCACACACCCCACTGAGAGGTCACTATCCATCTAAAGGCAGTCTTGAGAAGACCCCTCACCCTAACCCCCTGACAAGTAATTGCAACCCCATTCATTTGGACACTCCCTTTCTTGTACATCCCACACTGGCTATCCCTCTTAATGCTGCGCTGTCATCTCAGCAACAATCCCCAAAACCCAGGAAGCATTGAAGAATGAAGAGCAGTTCCAGTAATAATAAAAACAAGCTCAGTCCCCATTAAACCACAAAACACCCACCACAAATCTCCATGTATATCAACCAACCAAGTGCCTTAACTCCAACATCGTTTACTCCCAAGCATCCTAAAAACTAGATATGTTTCACATCGCAGATAGAGAGAGAGAGAGATGTTTCTCTACAGTGGCAAGTGTGCTTTAAGCTTACTCTACGGAGGCAAGTGTTCTTTAAGCTTAATTAAGTAGTTGTATTAGGGCTTAGGTTTGACAATAATTTGTGTTGTGTTAAGTATATATTATGTACACATTATGTTATATTAAAATTAATTTAATATATAATTAATCTATTTTGTAATAATATATAATCAATTTCATGTTGTTTTACAAGCCGAAATCTTGTGTTCAATACATTTTTATCAATTTATTTTTTGATAAATTTAACAAAATTCACCGCCTAAATTATCCAAAAGTAGATCAAAGCTCATTAATTTTACATGAATAGGTGTAATGTCAAAGCCTATTGGGGACTTGGATAAGGTTACAAATGTCAGCTAGGTTAGTCAGACCAATAGCTCCTCTACACCTTTCTTAATCACATACCCGTTCTTTTCTGAGTTCAGAACAATCCAAATCATACACACAGAGGGTGTTATCGATATAGTACACACTGACACACACACACTTATCTTGTATATATCCAGTTATCCACAGATTAATGTGAAAAACCCCACCTCAAGAAATCTTTATATACTAAATCTTGTCTGAAGTGGGCAAAAAATGGTGTCATAACACTTCTTGGGTTTCTGGGTTTTTTCAGTGCCTTCCTAAATGCCCATTTTCTCTCTCATCTACTATGGAACTTTCTGTGGGCGTTTTTGGACTTCTATGTACTGATAAACCCCACCTTTCAGTCTCAAACCATTTTCAGGCAAGTGCATAGAAGGAGAAATAGTGGGAACTAAGATTCCCATGAAATATGAAACCCATAATTTTCTTTTTTTCCTTTTCTTTTCCGTTTCCTGTCTTAATGTCCAAAACAGCTTAAAATCACTGTCCTGCATAGCTCTGTGACTCTGGCAATTGTCTCTTTACTCTCCGTTGCAGGAGTCCCCTTTCCAAGTCTTGAAACTTGTGATTTTCTTTGGACTTTTGTGCACCACATAAGGGTAGTCTATGGGTTTCTGTTTCTCCCACTATTCAGAGTACCCACCTGTGAAATTTATAAAGCTCGGTTGCTTTTGGAGGTTTTTGACACAAAAGAATGGTAGATTCCTGATATTATTCTCTTACACCTTTTGATTCCCTAGAAAACCTAATTTTTTCAGACGCAAAACCATCCCTCTTCTCTTATCTATTTATGGTGGCGGATAGGTTTTTATTCTTCAAGCTTTAAAGACTCTATTTGGAATATTATTGGGTTCATACAGAGCTATAGCCATGGCGGATGAGTCTGTTATCATCAAAAAGAGCAAGAGTGGGAAGTCATTGAGAGATGATGAAGATCTTCAAGAAGAAGAAGTGTGGGCTGTTATGAAGGAGAGAGAAGAAACAAGCCTGAAAATGAGAACAGCCAAAGATTCATCTGGTTCTTCATCATCTGCATGGCGGTTCCCTTCTGTTCCAAGAGCAATCCAAAGGTCTAACAATGGCGGTCGTGAGGCCCATGTGCAACCTCAGCAACTATCTGCCCATATGAACATTCCTGACTGGGCAAAGATTTATAAGAAGAAATCCAAGGGTTTAAGGGATGATTCATGTGGTGATGAAGATGGTGCAATCAATGATGTTGTCAATGTTGATGAATGTGTTGATGATGTTGAGAATGATGATGATGATGGTGATGAAGAAATGGTCCCTCCACATGAATACATTGCTAGGAAGTTTGCCAGGACTCAGATTGCTTCTTTCTCAATGTGTGAAGGGGTTGGAAGGACACTTAAAGGAAGAGACCTTAGCAAATTGAGGAATGCCATTTTAACCAAGACTGGTTACCTAGAAAATGATCGCCTCCATCACCCTCACTAGGTGACCACCAGCATGACCATGCATCATCATCATCATCACTATCATTCATGGCATCACCTTTACCTTCAAATCATCATCATCATCATCATCATCATCATCATCATCATGTGTCATAGCATGATCTTTATCATGAATCAAAGGGGGTCCCATTTTTGTGTTTTATTTTTCTTTTCCCTTTCTTTTTTTATTGAATGTAATGTGGTGCTGGTGGCCTGGTGCTGGTAGAGGAAGTATAAGCTAGAAGTGGTCAGAGCTGCCATTTTTGGAGGTTTTGTTATAGAAGAAAAGATAGCTAACTGAGATTTATGTTTGGTAAATGCAGTGCTTATGTACCTGGGCATATGGAAAGGAATTAGTTTATTATTTTTGTTCTTTATTTATGTTATTTACCTCTTCTCCACTGAGTTTTTGTATTTATTTAATTTGGGGTTTAATTGTTCCCATGTTAAAGTACAAATTTAAGAATAGACGACTTAATTTAATATAGTCATTGGATTAGTTATGAGTTTTGAAATTAAATAGAGTCTATTTTCAATTAATAACTACATTAAATTAGGTCTAAATATTATTTTCCTTATAAAAAGATTATTGTATCTTAAAAGCTAGTAATTCTTAGACTTTGTCTGATTGTCCAGTATTATGTTGCAAAGAACTAAGAATAAATAGATCGTTTGGGCTGGGCTGCAAATTATCTGTGGGCCAGGGAACCCGCACAAAGAAAAGCCAGGCCACAACTTCTTTAAATGGACCTTTAGCGGGGTCACTATCGGATGGCCCTAATGGTCTTCTTTTTTTTTTGCCCATTTTTTTTATTTGTTTTCAAATTTTGCAATTTTTCATTTTTTATTAGCAAAAATTTCATTTACACTCCTTCTAATTTATCATATTTTTAAGAATACTTTTTCTATTTTTTGAATCTTTATTGACACTTGTGTCAAATTAAAGATGTTAACTAGAATATAATTTTACTAATTTGTTTATGATGTATTTTAGGAAAACCTTCATTTACACCTCCTCTAAATAGACATATTTTCAATAAGATTTCTTTTATTTTTAAAATTTTTTTATGTATTAAAATTCAGGTCGATTAAAATTCGATTCGAACTAATTAAAATTTGATTCGATTAATTTTTTTTATACATATTAAAATTTGAGCTGAATTAAATTTCTATTTGAGCTGATTAATATTTATTTAATCAGATCGAATCAAATTTTAATCAACTAGCATTTTAATTGACATGAATTTTAATAAGTAAAAAAATACAAATTTTAATCAATTCGAAACGAATTTTAATTGACGCTAACAACTCAAGTAGAGCTTAAATGGACTCAAATTTTAAGACAATTTTTTTTAATAGGCTCGAATTTTAATATACAAAAAAATTTAAAATTTAATCAACTTGAATCGAATTTTAATCGGCACAAATTTTAATATATTGAAAAACAAATTATAATGAACTCGAATTTTAGTATGTAAAAACATAAATTTTAATTGGGTGGAATTCTAATCGAATTTTATATAGAAAGATTATTTGGGGTTTATGTAGAGATAATTTTGATATTTTAGATGAATTATTTTAGTTAAAAACTGTGGTTTAACGACTGTGGTACCTTTAAATATAATAAAAAAAGTGTCTTTCACGATATAATAAATTAAAAAGTGTGTATTATTATATTTTGACAGACCAATCGATTGGCCGAGCAGGGTTACGTGCCCTTAGGCCCTCTCACGAACCAGTTGCTCTGATAGGTCGCATGTGAGAAAACATATCACATGGCCTTATCCATCGGTCTAATGGCATGTTAGTCGGGTGTCAACCCAAGTGCCTATCTTTTTCATTAAATGATGATAAGGTAGTGCTATGGAGGTGGTGTAGCTATTGAGGGCGGTAAGGTGGTGATGCCGATGGAATGGAGGTCTTGGTTGGTGGTATGGGTGGGCTAAGGACAATTGTGGCAAGAGTTTGTACCCTCAAATTTCTATAATTGTTTGAGAAGATTAAATTGAAATTTATTTATATATAATTTATTAAAAAATTAGTTCTATTAAGTTAATTTATAGATTATAGAAATAAAATAGGTCGTCTTAAAATTCAATTCATTGATGTGAGTAGTGTTGAAAATATAATCCTGTAAAATTAATTAGCAAGTAATTTAATAAGAACAAAAAACTCATGCTCCTAGGAGCACCGAAGCAATCAAATCCGGATCAACGGTCCTATTTTTTTTTTGCAGTAAATTTAGATGTCTTAAAAATAAATTTTGGTAATTTCTTAGGCCCGAGATTTAAAATCTTAGTTCTAATAATAATAATAAGAGGAGGAGGAGGAGGAGGATGCAGTAGTCATGACGAAACCGACGTCGTCTAAGGACAACATTACCTTAACCGTCGTCGTATCGCTCTTCTTCGCTTTGCGTAGTCAAACCAACTACGCGACATACAAAATACAAGAAAGTCCCAATTTTCTCCTTTCAATTTCGTGAAGCAATCAGAAACCCGAACATTTTTTTTAGCGAAAAACTCTAATTTGCCGTTATTAAATAAAATCAGGTTTTATTCACAATCTCGTAATTGTTGCGTTTCTTTCTCTATTGATTTTGACAGCTACCACTCTCGTCAAAGACTCGAGCAATCTCAGTCTACAACACCCAATCGCCTGCTGAATATTTGGATTTCTTAATTGGTAATGTATCTTAGAATTCTATAAAAATACCCTTTTGCTTTTGTTGCCATGTTTGGTGTTTTTTGCACACAATCAATACAAATACACATGTATGTGTGTACATGGGGATAATCTTGTCGTGTGTATGTTTTTGTGAGAAGGGTATTTGATGTTTGTTCGATGTTTGAAATTTGCAGAGAGAGGTCAAAGTTTGAGTCTTGCCATGGCCAAGAGTTCCTTTAAACTTGAACACCCCTTGGGTATGTTCTTTTTTTCTTTCTGAGCTTGACAACTTGTTTTTATTTGTGATTTGTGATAGCATTCTGTTGTTAATTTTTTTAGTGAAAAAGTGATTTGGGCGTGTGTGGATTGTTTGTTTTACTGATTGATTATTGATTTTAGTTGTCATATCCAAGGTATTAGTTTTTGAATATGTTTATCTGGATGGAATTAATTTGCTAGGTTTTTGCGTTGGAGCCATTAGCAGGAGTTCAATAAATGAATTTTTTGTTCACGAAATTGATATCATCCTGTGAATGAGATTGGTGATTATCTGTTCTTGGCGTTAACGGGAGATTAATAGATGAATTTTTCGTTCACAAAATTGATGTCATCCTGTGAATGAGATTGGATGATTACCTGTTCTTGGCGTTAGCGGGAGTTCAATAGATGAATTTTTCGTTCATGCAATTGATGTCATCTTGTGAATGAGATTGGATGATTATTTGTTCTTGGCCTTAGTATTTGAACTTGGTTTTGCATGTCATTTTTAGGCTTTTTGACTGTTCTTGTATCAGAGTTTTTGCTTCCAATCTACTGTTGAATATCAAAACTGTGCTGCTTGATTCTTTGAATTGCGAGTAATATATCAGAACTTGTGTTCTTTTATGTTATAACTGTCAAGTAAACTCATGAGGTTAGTGGGTGAGGCTGGAGTACAAACTTGAAGGTTCAGTCATCACGCCTGCATTAAAAGTTAAAACATTTCTGTTGTGCTAAGAGTATGATAAAAATATACCTTCTCTTGAAGAGCTTAGGTGCTTGCTTGATGTGTTAAAGCTCTCTTTACTTTTTGTTGGCCTTTTTTGTTATGCGTATGCTATTTCTTAACTTTCTATTTTCTGTTTGTAGAGAGGAGATGGGCAGAATCTGCTCGCATCAGAGAAAAGTACCCTGATAGAATACCAGTAAGATCTCTTTGTGATTTTAGGGACTTCTGGTTATATATGTTTTATGTATTGGTTTGGTGGCGCTCTTCTCTTAGAATTGAGTTTTTCATGCAGGTGATTGTGGAGAAGGCTGAAAGGAGTGGCATTCCCGACATCGATAAAAAGAAGTAGGTTTCATTTCTCCTTCTATTTTATGTTTGTTGCTGCTTGAAAGTGGATGTGGTTGCTTATTGCTTCTGGTATAACTTTTTATACCAGAAGCAAGTGGAATCTAGTTCTTGAGATTACCATACAAATAGATGAAAAGAACATTGACATTTTCAAGGCAAATCAATGTTGTTAAAAATGGCCCTTGATAGAACGCAATGGAGACGTTAATTCATGTAGCCGACCCGAAAATAGTTGGGATTACGTTTCTCTTTTTCTGAATGCAGATACCTTGTCCCATCTGATTTAACTGTCGGGCAGTTTGTTTATGTGGTTCGGAAGAGGATTAAGCTCAGTGCTGAGAAGGCTATATTTGTGTTTGTCAAGAACATGCTACCACCCACTGGTGAGTGACAGACTTATGATTGGATGCCTAATGACATTCTTGAGCTGTTTTGTAATATTTCTTTTGTTGCAGCGGCCTTGATGTCTGCAATTTATGAAGAAAACAAGGATGCAGATGGGTTCCTTTACATGACTTATAGTGGCGAGAACACATTTGGTTCCCTGCAAGTGCAGTGATTACAATCTCTGTGTATGACGCTTTCAAGTGTATATCCTTACCCCCTTTTCTGTTAGGCCTGCCCTTTTTTTATAGAACAGTTGACAGTTGTTTAAACTTGGATCAATGACATTGATATGATTATGGAAGAAGTTTGAGCATATGGTAGTCTTACTCATTTGGTTTTAATGAATGGAATTAATTTAGAATCTTAGTGTGTTGATGGTTGAATGTTTTTGCCAGTCTTTGAGCAAATTGTAGTTGTTTTGAGGTGCAATTGATATAAGCATGTTCATTACAGCTTCCCATATTGTTAGCAGTATTCATACTAGTCATTAGATTCATTCGCTACATCTGCAATGCTAACCAAGCAGTTTCATAGCACAAACTGACCCTGACTTGGGAGTTGAGCAAGATACCACTGTGACCACATACGATCGGCGGTGACGAACAAACAGTTTGATCTCTTGATTCATTTTCAGGCAAACAAAACTTGTAATGATAAAACAAATAAATAAATAGATTTTGGGACAAGATGTGTTTTTTCACTTGACTATTCACTTGGGAGAGGTTTTCTTTTGACATTTGTTCTTGACCCACTTGATGCTCATTGTGGTTCCGTTCTTGAACTTCTGTGCTCCGGCCATAGCTGCTGCTTTGGCTTTGCTGAATCCTGCTGAAGAGGTAGTTGTCTTCTTCTCACTGACACTATCTTTGTTGGTTGCTGTGTTTTGATCTTCTTCAATGGCACCAATGCCTCCAGCACCCCATTGATCTGCCCAACTTGGTGCCTCACTAGCCATGGCGCCGTGGATCTCTATTCAACTGCACAAATCTAGACAATGAAATCTCTATCAGTGACTCTTGTCTGAAATGTAATCAAAATTAAACATGCCATCCTAGTAGGAGAAAAAATTAAATAATTTTAATTTTACCGTATATGAGAGATCGGACAGAAGCTATATGTTGCAGGATCGAGAAATTAGCCTCTTCACAATGAATGTGAAATTGCTTGCCATTTATCCCTTTTAGATCTCGTTATAGGCAGAAGCTTCATATACTCGGTTCAATATTTTTTTCAACCATAAACGAGGAGTAATTGAACAAGAAAACGGCTTTCCCATGGGAAAAATAAATCAATATGTTTTATAAACCATGTAATCTAATTCATGGAAGCAGTGGCAGTTTGGGTTAGAAAGATTCATCTTTTGGTAATAGGTAAGGAAACAAATACAAACAAAAAACAGCAGAACACAACACAGAAGCATTTAATCTCAAAAGAACCACAAATCATGGAAGATCAAATCCATTAAACACCAAGCGAGCGAGAGAGAGAGATAGTACCTGGGGGGGGCTGATGTATCTTGGTCTGTCAATGAAACTTAGTAACAAAGCATGATAAAGGGGTTTATGAAAGAATAAGTAGTTCTTAAATCTGCTCAACAGAAAAAGGTTGCATGTGGATAGGCTGTCTTGCTACCCTTGTTTTCTCCTTTTTTTGTGAAAGATAATGCCAACTCACTTTGCTTTACCATCCCATGAAGCAAAGTTTAGTTGGCATTTTGCCTTTGTTTTTCCTTTATATTCGGCAATTCTTTGCGACCACTGAGAATTTTAGGTAGCCCCTGGTCAGTTATGGAATACAATATAATTGAAGCCAATGTTCAACTTGGGTTGGTTAAGTTCAGATTGGGCCAGTCTAAATTATGAGGTCTGTTTTCTCTTAATGGCATGTTAACTTGTATAATTGAAATATATGACCTGGACAAAGTTGGTATGTCATTCTTTTTTCTTTGTTCTTTTTTTTTTTTTCAATGTTAAGCAATAATGATTAGATTCAAGTCTGTATTCTTTATTTAAAAAAATTCAAGATGTCAGCAAGTTAGACAGTTCTAAAGTTTTTTATATTCGGTGAATGATAGACTAAAACTCTACACCAACCAAGTGAAATTAAGGATCCGAAAGAGTTCACGATATGATCTATGGGGTGTTAACCCTTAGAAGATAGCTAAGATTGTCCATTCAAAGGAGTAGACCGATGAGGTCATTTTTCGAGCACATACAAAACAATTTAAAAGGATTGTGCAACTTAGAGAGATGGTCGTATCTCTTTGATGAATGTGGTATTGAGATTTGGGTCATTTGGAAGAGAAGTCAGTCTTAGGAGAGACTATGCGAATGGTAGGGCCCTGCTAATATAATTATATCGTATGCTAACTCGTTTGGACTTAAAAGTTGTTAGCCAATTGTCAATTCGAAAAGGCTAGCTCCAGTAACAGAATTTAGTTTAAGGTTAAAATAGGAATTTGACAATATTCAAAAGATCAACCCAATTTGTTGATTGGTTGCAATCAAATGTTTCAAATATTCTTCCGAGAGATCATTTAAACATCTGTGTGCCCATCAATTTGAGGATGGTTAATCGTAGAGAAGTTGAGTTTAATTCCCATTAACTCAAACAAAAAACTTGAAGGAACTCTTTTAATATACTAGGTATTAAAGATGTGCACCCATCTGAAACCCTTGTGAAGCAATTTCTGACAATTAGATGATATTACATCCACAAATATTACCCTAGTTTTTTGTTCTTTTTTTTTTTTCCGTCTATTTTTCCCAGTTAGTTTATTCCCTATCCAGCCCAACTAATTGGGCATAGGGGTGGGCATTGACTCCGATGGAGTCGGAAGACATCAATCCGACTTAAGTCAGAGTGAGTTTTTCCCGTCGACTCTGATTCTGCAATACATTGTCTCCGCCTCCGCTAATTAGAGTCGGAGCAGAGTCCGAACGGAATTTTGAAAATTGACATTATCCCAAAAAAAAAAAATATCAAATAATGTACATAAATTTTACAATGTAAATACACTTAGATAAAGCCTCAATCGAATCTAACAACCACATAAATGTAAACACATAAATATAGGGGTGACAATCAAGTCATATCGTGTCGTGTCGGGTCATTGTAGGTTCATATCAAATATTAGTCAACCCTAATCCAATTCATTTAATTAATCGTGTCGTATCGAGTTGACCTATTTATTTTCGTGTTATATTTGTGTTGACCCACATAAACTTTAAATAAAAAATTTAACCTTTTGAATAATTTTTTATACAATAATTATATCAGTGCTTAATAAATAATTAGAAATAATTAATATTTTATTTCTATTATACTAATTAAACATGCTGATTGTATTATTTTTGTATTGTTCGTGTTACCATATAAAGAAAAAAAAAATAAAGTATCAATTATTAAATAAACAGGTTGATCGTGTCAATTTCGGGTTTGATAGGTTGAACCCAAACATGATCAGTTTATATTTCGTGTTTGAGTGTCAGGTCATTTTCGAGTTCGTGTCGAGTTATAATTGAATTCGTGTTTGCATCGAATTTGAGTCGTGTTATTGGATTGAGTTGAAAATTGTCATCCTTACATAAACACACACACACACACACAAAAACATACACACGGACCATCGTCGGACCTGCTTCGTTGAGATCTGAGATCTGAGGATCTGCGCGTTTTTCAATTGGATTCGTAAGATCTATAGTTGACTCGGAGGGAGACAGTTGGAGGGGTTGGGCAAAGAAATAGGAGGAGATTGAGGGTCTTTGATGCGTTGATGGTATGTTGTGTCCGAGTGTGAGACAGAAATGGGAGTAGGGGTGCAACTTAGACGGGTTGAGAGGTTAATTTTAATCTAATTTCAGGTATATAATTTTTAACTTTAATTTTAACTTTAATCCTACCTCAACTTGATGTACTCAACTCAAGTTGAATTCAGACGGGTTCGGGTTGAATTCGGGTTGACTTGAGTTATTTAATTCGAGTTAATTTTTTGAATTATAGATTTGATTTTTTCAAATATAAATTTGATTTTTTCAAGTGATATGAAATGAAAGATGAAATGCAGATAAAGAGAGAGGGAGTAAGAAAACGAGGAGTGATGAGTGAGAGAGGGAGGAGTGACAATTAATAGAGGGATCTGAGATTGAAAGAGACGTAGAAATGAAGACTTTGAGTGAAATGAAAGTATGGACTCTAAAGAGTAAAGATAAATACTAACTCTAGTTAAATATATTTATATATTTATTTATATTCGAGTTCAACCTGATTTTACTATTCGAATTGAACCCGATGCCTCAACCCGAGGTTTGTCCAAATTCAATTTGGGTTGGAGTTTTTTTTGCTTAGGTCTAATCTAAGTATTAAAAATTCTAATCTAAACTCAATTTTTTTCTTTTTGAGTTGTGCTTGGGTTGGCGTGCCCAAATTGCACTCCTAAGGGGGATGATTTAGTGGGGCTGTAGTGTTTATAATTGGACTTAGGGGTGGGCTTAGGATTTTAGATTTATGATAATATATAGGGAAAATTTCATCAACATCCCCTTTAAATAGGTCTATTTTCAACGACACTCCTTATCTTTTTTGAAATTTCATTGACCTCCTTTATCGGTGTTGGTCGGTTAACAGATGTGACAGAAATAGACATTTTACCATTTTACCCATGAATTTTATAAAGAATTACATATTCATAAATTATTTTTCATTAAACTATATATAAATATATATTCCTATTTCCAAGTGTTATGTGCAGTACTATTAAATTATATATAAATATTATATAGTTTAAGTGTACGGTGTCATTGATTTTTTTTAAAAAAAATTACTTTGAATTTTTTTCTTTATATTTTATTTAAGCATACGGTGTCACTGTTTTTTTTTTAAAAAATATTTTGAATTTTTTCCTTATATTCTGTTTAAGCGTACGGTGTCACCATTGTTTTTTTAAAAAAAATTTCTAAAAATCTATTTTAAATTTTTTCTTTATATTATGTTTAAGCGTACGGTATTGCCGTTTTTTTTTTTAAAAAAAAAAAAATTTATTTTGAATTTTTTATTTGTATTATGTTTAAGCGAACGATGTCACTGGTTTTTTTTTTTAAAAATTTCTAAAAAAATTATTTTAAATTTTTTCTTTGTATTATGTTTAAGTGTACGGTGTTACTGACTTTTTTTTTTTTTTTAAATTATTTTGATTTTTTTCTTTTTATTATGTTTAATCGTACGGTGTCACTAATTTTTTTTATTTTTTTTACAGTATCACCAATTCATAGTACTAAATTTTATATATGAATTTTTTATATTATTTTTCACCGATTTATGCTAGGACCAATGACTTGGATTGTTTTTGTAGTTAGGTGATTGAGTTGTTGAGACACGAGAGAGAGAGAGAGAGAGAGAGAGGAGGGGGGGACATGGGTTTCATGTGGAATAAGAAGGGTAAATTGACATTTCATAAAAAATTTGGTATGACATCAACACTTTTTTGATTGTCAGTACGACCGGTTATGGTAAGGGGTGTCTTTGATTTATGCCTAATTAGAGGGGGTGTTGATGAAATTTTCCCTAATATATAATGTAGTTTATAAATTATTAATTAATAAAAGTTGAAATCGGAATTTTTTGGGAATGGATTGTAGACTCCGACTCTGATCGGAGTCTGCTATTTTTCTCTGACTCTGACTTCCACATAGGCGGAGTATGAGACGAAGTCAAAATTTTAAATTCTTGAACACTTCTAATTGGGCACCCACCTTTTTTTTTTTGGGAAAATTAGAAGTAGGTATACTCGATTAAACTTAATTGTAAAAAAATACATATAAAAAATGTTGGGTAATTAAGTCTTTAATTTTGATACTTATTTATATTTAAATATATTATTTGAATTTTACTGATTTTTTTGTGACATTATTGCCCTCCATTAATCCATGTGTATTTAATGCACCACTTTTCTTTGAAAAATAGTGCATTAAACATTTCTTTATTTTATGGAAAAACTTTAATACACACACACACACACACACACACACACATATATATATATATATATATATATATATTT